CACCACGGAGTTGATTGCCAGTCTCATCATGGGGAATAACTACCACCAGCTGCCAAGACACTCAGCCAGGCCCAGCCAAGCTGACATACAAATTTAACTACCACAAACCACCAATGCCAAAGATGAGGAAATTGAAGATTTTTCCCAACTTCTGCAATCTGAAATTGACCAAACATACAATCAAGATGTGCTGATTATCACTGGTGATTGGAATGCAAAAGTTGGAAAAAAAGAATCGTCAGTAGTTGGAAACTTTGGCCTAAGTGAAAGAAATAACACTGGACATCGCATTTTAGAAATCTGCAAAATCAACGACTTATTCATTGCAAAGACCTTTTTTCAACAACACAAACGGCAGCTATACATGCGAACTTCACCAGATGTAGTACACAGGAATCAGACTGGCAAGAGGCAATGGAAAAGCTCAATATCCTGAGCCAAAACAAGACCAGGAGCTGATTGTGGAACAGACTATCAGCGGCTCATATGCAAGTTTAACTTGAAGTTGAAGACAATTAAAACAAGTCCAACCAAAACCAAACTCACTGCCGCCGAGTCAGATCCAACTCATAGTGACCCCCTTTGGGTTTCCAAGGTGGTATCACTACAGAAGTAGATTGCCCAACCTTCCTCCCAAGGAGTGGCTGGTTGGTATGAACTGCCAGCCTTCTGGTTAGCATTCAAAGCAAGAGGTCATTAAAAAGATAAGAAAGGAAGAAAAGACCAAAATGGATGTCAGAAGAGACTCTGAACCTTGCCCCTGAGTACAGAATAGCTAAAGCAAATGGAAGAAATGACAAGATAAAAGAGCTGAACAGAAGATTTCAAAGAGCAGCTCAAGTGGACAAAGCCAATTACTATAATGAAATGTGCAAAGACCTGGAGTTAGAAAACCAAAAGGCGAGAAAAGCCTCAGCATTTCTCAAGCTGAAAGAAATGAGGAAAAAATTTAAGCCTCAAGTTGCAACACTGAAACATTCTATGGGCAAAATATTGGACGATGCAGAAACATCAAAAGAAGAGAATGAACACACCGAATTACTGTACCAAAAAGAATTGGACAATGTTCATCAATTTCAGGAAGTGGTATACGATCAAGAACCAATGTACTGAAGGAAGAAGTCAAAGCTGCACTGAAGGACATGGAGAAAGAGAAAAAACAAGGCTCTAGGAATTGACAGAACATCCACTGACATGTTTCCACAGATGCCAAGCTAGAGGCACTCAACTGGCTATGCCAGGAGATTTGGAAAAGAGCTATCTGGTCAACTGATTGGAAGAGAACCATATTTGTACCCATTCCAAAGAAAGATGATCCCAGAGAATGTGGAGATTATCAAACAATATCATTAATATCACATGCAAGTAAAATCTTACTGAAGTTAATTCAAAAATGGCTGCAGCAGTATATTGACAGACAACTTCCAGAAATGCAAGCTGGATTCAGAAGAGGACATGCAATGAGGGATATCATTGCTGATGTCAGATGGATCTTGGCTCAAAGGAAAGAATACCAGAAAGATGTTTATTTATGCTTTATTGACTGTGCAAAAGCATTTGATTGTGTGGATCATAAAAAAATATGGATACCATTGAGAAGAATGGGAATTCCAGAAC